GTGAGTTGGGTCTTATTTACATTTAACATATAAGGAAACTGAGGTCTACGGAAAGTAAATTAACCAAGGTCATAGATCTAGAATAGCTTGAATAGGAACTAAATCTTTTTGACTCCAAAATCTATGCTCTTACCCTTAGACCTTTGCTCTGTCTAATTTTAGTTGGCTCCAGGTTTCAGATGATTTGTAATAGGAGTTTGAATTTTGCAATCTTTTCGGTGAACTTTTAATTAAGACATCTACATTTCGTTCGCAGTAAACCTATTTAATAGGCTTTTAACAAAATATAAATTAGCTCAAAAGTACATACGACAATGACCTTGTCTTCTTTTTCCTTTCCTTTAGTCATGTCCCCATTTGTTTTTCATTTGTACATCCCCCAGAGAGGGTGAACAGTAAAAATATTAAAGCAGATAGAAGTCAATACGTTTAATTTCTGACAACTTAGTATCTCTAATGAAGACGAAATTTTCTTGTTTCCCCTACACTGGATAATTAATTGGTAATTGGAATAGAGTTAGCTTTATTGAGGCCAATTTAATTCTTTAGTGTTGAGTATGTAAAATAGTTTGTCTTCTTTCAATTTAAACTTGCGAGATGCAGTGTGGGAAAGGTATCTTCTCTTTCCTCTCTTCCCTTCTACCATTGACGTCTCGCCTAAAGACCTGTTTACTGAGATCACTTGGTCACCAAGGGATCATTTCTGGGTTATACCTTATTTTTATATTGTGAGAAAACATTACTAGATTTATACCTTTGAAAAGGTCAGTTTGTCAATTGCTTTTTATTGGGCTCTTAAATTATGCTGAGCTCAAACTCCAAATGTTATTGTAAAAGATATGATGCCTAAGCCCAGGGACTTTCTAAGGGAGACAGGAAAGAGAAATATAACATGGAAAAGCTGTCCATGCCGGAGATGGCAAAATTAAACTGCAGTTCAGTAAAAAATAATTTTTCTTCTCATATCCTTTACCAAAAACAAAACAAAACCAAACCCAACCACTTTCTCTTATGCTTTTAAAATTCTCAGAAACAAAATGAATATAGGAGAGTTAAATCCTGTCTGAGACGCTGGATTAGAGAAAAATAGCTTTTCTTGTTTCTCCTAGTCCTAAAATTTTGAGAACAGAGCTAAGCTCAACCCTCAGCCAGGAGACAAGCCCAGCCAGACTCTCAAGCCTGAAGCTGAGTTCTCAGGTGAGCCCAGCCCAGATCAGTCAGTCGATCCACCACTGAGCATGAGAGTAAACGTTTACTGTTGTATGCCATTGAGTTTTGCAACATTACTGTAGCAATAAGTGCCTAAGACAATTCTTTAATATCTTTCAGTAAATTCTAGTCTTCCTGGTGGCTCTGGAAAGGGGGAGGGGAAAAAGTGTAGAATTTTATTCTCCCTCAAAACATTTCCTTTTTATACAGGGACACCAATTTTCTGCAAATATAAATACTTGTGAAATTTATATGTTAGCCAGAGAATTTTGAAAATATGCCTATTCTTACACTTGAAACCTATATAATTTTATTAACTAATGTCACCCCAATAAATTTAATTAAAAAAAAAGAGAAGATAATATACCTATTCTACCCTGAGGACGCATTAAGAAAAATATATATATACCTATTTTCCTTTTATCTTTTTAAGAATGAAAAACTGATGACTCTGGTGGGTTTCCTAAAACAGTGTTTGTGTGATTTTGGTCACTTCAACGTGTTTCAAAGTGTAGCGTTCAAAGAGTAAACAACCTAAACGTCTAACAATAAAGGAACTGATTAAATAAATTACTGTAAGTCCATATGATAGACTTCATTGTCATCAGATATTACATTTTTTATGAATAAAGATACATATATAATGACATAATATTGGGTGAAAGGAAATCAGAACTCATAAGTGATATACTTTTCATTCATTGGACAAGCTGATACGCATTAGGCAATGTGCTGGGTGCTGACCCCAATTTTATCTGACAGCTTTATTGAAATGTAATTGACATAAATAAACTGCATATGTTTAAAGTATACGGTTTGATAAGCTTTGAAATGTGCATACACTCCTGAAACCATTACCACAATATTCATCACCCCCAAAAGTTTACTCATATCTCTGCCCTGTCTTCAACACCTCCCCCATTCCTAGGCAACCACTGCCTTCTCTCACTATAGAATAGTTTACATCTCCTGGAATTTTATATGAATGAAGTCATATAGTATATGCTCTTTTTGTCTGGATTTTTTTTTCACTTAGCATAATTATTTTGAGATTCATCCATGTCATCGTATGTATCAATAATACATTTCTTTTTTATAACTGAGTAGTATCCATTGTGTGGATATACCACAATTTGTTGGTAGAATTTTGGGGCTCATAAAAATAAAGCTGTAATGAACATTCATGTATGAGTTTTTGTATGTACAAATAATTTCTTCATACACTTATACTGAGTATTTCACTTTTGTTGGGTAAATATGTAGGAGTGGACTATATGATAGATGTATGTTTAACTTTTTAAGAAGCTGCCAAATCATTTTCTAAAGTGGTTGTACCATTTTACATTCTCAGTAGCAGAGGATGAGAGTTTCAGTTCCTTCACATCTTCGCCAATACCTGATTTGGTCAGTCTCTTTAATTTCAGCCATTCCAGTGGTATGTAGTAGTATCTTATTGTAGTATTAATTTATATTTCCCTAATGACTGATGATGTTGACTGAGAGTCTTTTTATGTGCTGACATATAACTTCTTTAGCATATTGAAAATATAATTTCTCTGTCTTGCAGTTTCTGTTGTTGCTTGTTGAAGAGTCAGCTGTTAGTACAACTGCCCCTACTTTTATTCTCTGATTGCTTCTAAGATTTTCTTTTATTTTTCTTTTTTTTTTTTCAAATTTTGCTGTAATCTAAGTGTGGATTTTTATTTTAAAAATCCTGGCGGTTATTCTTTGAGCTTCTCGAGTCTGCGAACTGGTATCATTCATCAGTTCTGGATATTTCTCACACATATTTCTATATCTTGCCTCTGTCTCATTTTGTCCTTTGGACTTCCCAGTCCACAGAGGTTCGATCTTCTCACTGTGTCCTCCACATATTCAACTTTTTATAGTTTTTGTCTTTTGTCCTTCTGTGCTGCACTCACGATAATTACTTCTGATCTATCCTTTAGTTCTTTAATTTTCTCTTCATCTCAGGGTAAGAGTGAGCCTGACATAAACTCACATTTCATTACCAACTTGCAAAGCAAGTATTGTCTTAGCACTAAGCATAGCTCTGGCAGAAAAAAATCCCTCCAAATTCCTCCATGTATCTTCAGCCCAAATTCACAAGCAGAGAGGTTACAAGAAATGTCAAGCTGAGAGACAAAGGTAGTTACGAGAAATGTCAAGCTCAGAATTTAGCTGAAGGAGTTCCAAGCTGGGAATACACCCAAAGTGCCTGACAGAAGCAACCTCGAATATTCTGGAAGAACTTCATCCTAGGCCTCTGGGAATCCCCACCAATACTTTTTCAAAGGCGACAAAGAGCACACAGCCAACGATAACCAATCAAGCACACAAGGAAATAAGGCATCATGAAATGAGAACAGAAGAAACCAACCCATGAAATTAGAGGCATCAGATTATAGAACAATTACGCACACTATGTTTAAAGAAATAAGAGAAAAGTTTGTAGCTATCTTCAGGCAACAAACCAATAAGAATTTCTAGAAATAAAAAATGTTATTAAATAAATTTAAAACTCAGTGTATGGGTTTAGCAGTAGAAGTGGATTTGGGCTAACCATTTGGGTCCCAACTGAATGGGAAAAGTCTTTAGACTCGTCACCGTGTACAGGCTTTGGGCTTTTATCTTTGTGTTCCTTGTCCTCAAGGCTAGCAAAACTATTTCTCTAACACTGTGCGATCAGAAAATGTCCTCGGGTCATTGTTCTTGCTTTGTCTTCATTTGAGGCCTGATAGTTCTGTACTCTCTTGTCTTTATTAACAAATTAAAAAAACATATTTTCCCTCAGAATTTTAGTAGTTTTCACTGGGAGGTTGGTCTGAATATAGTCCACCACAGTCTTAAATAGAAGTTCTGTTAATCTATATAAAATGTTAATGTGACATTATATTTTAATGTCAGAAAGCCTTTGTGTGTAAAAAGGGCTATTCATAGTTTCTTGGATTTTAAATTAATACTGATTTGCTAAAATTAAAACGAAAACCTTCCTGCCAACTTTGATTTCAATATGATTCTTGTTTTCTATTTAAAAACTGAGCTACTTTTGTATAAAGAATGATCACCCTTATTTTTTCTGAAATTAATATGTTCAGTTAACTCAAGTTGAAAAGACTGAACACCTCTAAGTAATCAGTCCATTTACAAACTTAGTTAATAAAAGTTCTTTAACTATTTTAAACTTCCTTTGTAAATTTAACATATTTGATTTTAAGCACTTCTAATACCTGAAGAGACAAATGTACAGCCCAATTAAGCAAACTCTTCCTAAATACTGAACGACACTTACACATTTTAAAATTTATGTTCTACTAGAGCCAATTTAATACCTTTTCTGAACCCGTTTATAATGAAATATCTTTGGATATTTATTGGTAAAGAAACATCCAAAATGTGAATTTGGTTGTCTCTGAATCAAGAATGATTTTAGCTTTCCTATCTTATACTTTTCTGTATTTTCTTAACTTTCCACAATGAATATGTATTATTTTTATAACCAGAAGAAACAACAGTTCCTATAAGCAGGAGTCAATGTATAGTATTAGTTTCAAAAACAATTTTTTTCTTCTACTACGTCCTCTTTTTCTAACCTTTTTTTCTTCCCTAAAGAAACATCAAAACACAAAAAGACCTTAGAGAACAATAATTAAAAATGGAGTGAGGTGTGAAGCAGAGGCCACTGGTAAACACCTGGTTGTGAATAGTACTGGCTTCTAGTCAAGCAGGCAACTGATGATATTTTTTAATTCGTTTGCAGGATAGCAAGAAGCACTTGACGATTAGTTTGTCAGCATAATGGCATCTATAAACAGAACCAGCGAAACAGTTAAGAAACTTAAAGCCAACAGACAGCAACTTCTGAAGGAGATCAATGAAAAGCGTGAATCCAACTGCTTGGTGGAAAGAAGCAATCAAGTTAGCTTATTGAGAGTCCAAAAGAGGCACTTCAGTGGTGCCCATACCTCCTGCACTCACATCCAAACCAAAGAACCTGCTCCCGACAGCGGGAGGAGCTCCTGGGTCAAACTGAGTCTCCTTACTCATCCGGAGAAAAGGCACTTCGCACCAAAAAGTAAGATGTGGTAGGACTCCTACTCAATCGACAGGAGGGATTTATAAGAAAATTTAGAATTTCTGGGGTTGAAAGAGGTTCATAAGTATTGCACTGGGAAAGCTTAAAGGCAGCCTGTCTTAAAAGTATCCGTAGACTAGTCTAGCTGATGGAAGATCTACTCCAGACTAGAGATTCTCATTTTCTTGTACTTACAGAATCCCAGGCTCCACCTCCAGGCTGTCTCATTCAGTAGGCTCTTGTTTGGGTCCTGGAGCCTGTACTCTCAGCAGACTAAGGTGATTTTGATGGCCTGAGAACTATATTTTGAGAAAAGTTGTTACAGGTAGTTATAACAGACACAAAAACTCAAGAGGCCTTCTTCTCACCAATATCTGTTGCCTCTGCAAAAATTCCATGTGCAAAATCGAGATAACAATGGAAATGATTTTGATGACAAATATCGAACAAAAAGCACTGAAAAACAATAATGAAATGTGGAGGGAAGTTGGGGTGGGGGTGGTGTGCAGTGGTGGGGGTGGTATTATTTTGCAGGAGGAAGAGGAGGAACTGGTAAACTACCTTGATTGTGAATACCTGTTTCTAATTCAAGGCAAGCAACTGATAGTGTTTTTTTTTCCCCCATCTATTTTTTGTGGGGGGAAAAGGAGCATATAATTATATTAAATACAACCAACAGATGATTAAGTTAGGTCAGAAACAAAAGAATTGCCATATTGGAGATTTGGTGAGATTCTTTGATGAGGGGGCTGTGACTTTACATTTGCCCTGTACCCTTAGTAAGTGGTGTAGAGAGGAGGAAACTGTGTGTTGTGGAATACTGAGATTCTCCACTGTGTTTAAAGTTCATCTGCAACAGTCATGTATTTAATTTTACATAAAAATAACTCTTTACAAAGAGGAATGCCTTTAGTGTTACGAATTTTAAGCATAATCTTTAATTCTGGTTGAATTACTTGGAATTAGATGACTTAAATCACAGCTAGCAGGCTAGTTCTCATGAGTTTAGTGGAGGGTTATTCACCTCCTATGACAAACATACTTTACCACTTTACATGAATACACATGGTTTTCTACAAAACAGTCTTGGAACATTAAAATCAATCTTTAAATATTGCAGAAAAGCTTTTGTTCTTTCTAAGTGAACAGACTTAAACAGAAACTCAACTTTATAGTGTAAAATACAGAATACGTATAGATCTAATTTAAATATTACGGTATTGGTATGTAAACACATGTTCTTTAATTAAACCGGTAGTTCTCAAAGGGTGGTCTGGGCGCTCCTGGATATTCAAGTTTTTTTCAGGGGTCCAGGAGGTCGAAGCTATTTTTATAATGATACTGAGATATCGTTACTGGTTCAAAGTTTTTGTGCTTGACGTTTCATAAGGCCAATATTCAAAATGTCAGAGATTGGAGTAAGGAAAGATTTATTGATCGAGAAAGTGCCAGCTTGAGAAGATGGGGGGGCCTTAGGGCTTCCACAAATTCATCTTAAGAAAGCCCAGAATTTAGACTTCTTTTATGTCAGGGGAAGGAAGGGTGGGTGGGGCAAGAGAAGACTGACGACACAGACATCTGGACACCAACAGAGATCCAAGGAAGATTTCTAAATCCCTTTGTTCTGGTCTGTTGACCCCTGCCCATCTGAATCTGGTCTTGAGGCTCCTGCAAATCTTTGATAAAATCATTATTTTTGTACATATTTCCCCACCTCTTCAGAGAGGTACCTTCTGGAAAGGGGCTGTTCTTCCAAAAACTCAAGCCTCAAGCAGAATTCCTTTGATGATAAGCATATCTATACCAGGAGCTATTTGCCTGAACGCCATTGGAAAAACAAATGCCTGCTAGAATTAAGAGTCAAAGAGACCGAGCATTTGACTCTGTTACAATATTATTTGCCTTTTTACTCTCATGCTCTCATGGGAGTACAATGAAGTTTTCTAGAGGCTATATGATGTGCAATGACATTGCTCTGACCATTAATGGAATGTGGACTGGTATTCTTGAGTTTTAAATTTTTCACAGATTTAATTTCTAATGTGGCAAACACTGAGAGATACAATACACATAAACAAAAGCTTGACAGGGTCCTCAACAGTTTTTAAGAGTACAATGGATCGTGAGACCAACAAGTTTGAGAACCAGTCATCTGAACAAATGGTAGGTATTTGTTGTTGATCCAGAGCTGTCTATTCTCAAAAGCTTATTAACATTTTTTTCCCCATGGTTTTTTCAGCTTATTAACATTTTTTCCCCATGGTTTTTTCATTAATCTCTACTTGAAATTTATGGTCATTAGTTTCAACTTTAATTCGAATCAAGGACAAAAGAAAGGGGATGTTGGGGGCTTATTTTCCTTTTATTTCCATCAGTGGGAAAAAACCTGGATACAGAGAAGGGTGCTGACATTTTTTTCAGTGCTTATTTTATTCTGAATACTGTTAAGGTTTTAAAAAGTCAGTAACAATACCTTTCTGTTCCTAATCTGAGTTTACATCAATTGAGAGATAGATGGAGGTAACAATGTTGGTTTTTTTACTGGAAAATAAATCTATAAAGGAGGAATTGGCTTGGAAGCAGCCAAAGGTGAACTCATCCCAAAGCAGACCTTACCCCATGACAAACCAGAAGTTCAGACCTGCCACACTAGGCTGAGAACATATGAGAGAATATCTCCTCCTTCAGGAGGCCAGCAGATGCAAAGAGAAAAATAAGGAGATGAAACATTAGCTCTAAAATTTGATGAACGTATTCCAGTATATGTTCAATAAATATGTAATGAATCAAATAATAAAGATCATTAATTATAAAATAACAACTTCTTTATATAAGACGACCCTCTTCTGCCCTCTGAATCTTTAAGAATACCAAAGCTCAATGCTGGGCCCTCTTCTCATAGTCTACACTTTGTTTCTAGGTGATCTCAACCTAGACAGATGGCAGCTCTTTGACCTGTTACAGGACTTAAAACCTCATCTCTATTCTGATGAATCACACATTTCTATTTCTGCTCTGACCTTCCTCCTGAGTTCTGAACATGTCTATCAGATTGCATATATCAGGTTGCCACCTCTCCTCGATGTTATCTCAAATTTACCACTGCAAAAGCAGAATTCTTATCCTCCACCCCCAAATACACATACTCACCCCTGCCCCATTTCAGAAAATGGCCAAATATCTGGGAGTACCTTTGACTCTCCTCTTTGTCTCACACCCCACATCCAATCTGTCAGGAAGTCCTGTCAACTTCTCCTTTAAAACTAATCCTGAATCTGACCAAATCCAATCCATGATCATCTCTCTCCCAAAGTACAGCAGAGACCTCCCAACTGTCCCCCAGCCTCCACAGTTGCTGCCTCTCACATTTACTTCTCCACACAACAGCCCAAGTGCTCTTTTTAAAACATACATTAAATACGTCACTTGTTGCTCAAAACTCGCCCACCAGTGTGCTTAACTGTGTGCTTCTTTTTAAGCCTTATCCTTTCTATTGTCCTTGGCCTCATCCCATTTAGCCACCATGACTTTCTTCCTGTTCCTGGGATGTTCCACTCTGGTTCCCACCTCAGGGACTTGGCACATACTGTTCCCTTTGCCTAGAACTCTCTCTTTTTCCCTCACTTTACTCAGATCTTTGTTCAAAAGCCAGTTTATCAGAAATCATCCCATCTAAATAGAACTCCCCAACATTCTACAATCCTTTACTATGCTCCCTCTTCAATCTTCCACTTGGAGTTATAGATGCTAAAAGACGAGGTAGTCTTACTTAAAGATCGAGTCTTAAAAACAGAAGACTTTGGTGTCTTAGTTTGGGCTACTATAACAATTACCATAGACTGGTGGCTTAATCAACAACTATTTATTTCTCATAGATCTGGAGGCTGGATGTCTGGGATCAGGGTGGGCAGCATGGTCAGGTTCTTGCTGCGTGCCCTCTGCCTGGTTTACAGAGGGCTGCTAGTTCTGGCTGTGTCCTCACATGGCAGAAAGAGCTAGCTAGTTATCTGGCCTCTTCTTATCAGGGCACTAATCCCATTCCTGAGGGGTCCACCCTCATGACCTAATTACTTTCCAAAGGCCCCACTCCTAACACCATCACATGGGGATCAGGGTTTCAACACAGGGATTTTATGGGACACATTTAGTCCATTGCACTCAGGTTCAGGTTCTGTGTCTGCTATTGAATAGTTTCATGCTTTTAGTTATCTAGTGTTTCTAAACCTTACTTTCTATATCTGTGAAACTACTCACACTCTCTGCCCTCAGGGCTGTTTTGAAAACTATGAAATGTATTATAAGTTTTATAACATATATTTTGTTTTTTATTTTTCAGATAATGCCATATTTGGATAAAGTGCATCTCCAGAGACACAAAGAAATACCATCTCCTTGATCCTTCTTCAGTGTCTAAATTACTTACAAATATTAATTATGAAAGAAGTCAAAAAAAGTTATTTGCTAGATCACCAAGAAAACATTTTAAGTCACATGAAATGTATTACATCTTCATTCATTCCATTCCACCACTGAGATGTTCTGGAGAGAGGATCTGAATTATTCAAGATGCTTTAAAAGATGAATCGCCTAAAAGTTCACATCACAGTGATCTTGTTTATTAATTTAAAATGTTTAAATAGTCTGTTTCTATAAATCAGTAGAATATGCTGACCAACCCCACTAATCAAGATGAACGCTAAAGTTCTGTCAACAAGTTGTTCCTAAACACTTAATTACATTGGTCATTGACAGAAGACATGACTCCTGCTTCAGAGGCAAAGGACTTTAATATTCAGAACACAGCAAATAGCACGAGCCTCATGTTTCGATTGGCTTCCCCTGCACCCCACTCCCAAACAAGATGGAGCCATCCAGAGAGATGCCATACATACAAAGGTTTTGTCTCACAGCTGAAGACCTCTGAGCTTTAGAAACCCAACCTTTGCTGGGAGGAAAATATTCTCTTTATTACACTGGACAGTAAATAAACCTGCACTCTGCTCCAGTGGGAGACAACACCTCTGTCTTCCAAGGCCCATGGCTATACAAACATCCTTGAAGAGATAATCTGGAACAAAAGCTGTCAGTGCCTCTGCTCCCAAGACATGCAGAAATGTGAGAGACCTATGGAGAATTATCTCCCAATACTGAGCAGTCCACATAAAGACTATCAAGTACAGCATCGTTTCTTTGGCTTAATCTAAGATGAACCATAGGTGATAAACATATAGTAAATGAGTGTCCAGTTATGTGTAATACAATTATTAACCTTTCTAGTCTCATTTCTCTATAATCCCCTGTACCGCCTCCCCCATGTACCTCTGGGTTTATGGAACTACTTGTGGTTCCCCGCTGTATTGTTACCCACCTTCACATGGCTAATTTTAGTTTAAATACCACCTTCTCCTGGAAGCCTTCCCTCCCCCATCCTCTTTGCCTCTTAGGTGTTTCTACTTTATCCTCCTCTATATACCTTAAAACAGCCTCGGGCTAAAACCAGAAACTCAAACGTCACAAAACTATATATTCTGGACTCTGACCCTACCTGAAATAGCAAGAAGTCCAGCCACCTACCCCCGCTTTCCTGGGAGTGTTTCAGATCTGCTGATGCACATGTTCCCTCAGTAAACGTGTGGGGATGGGTATTTCCTTTTTTTTTTGGCTCCGGCTCCCTGTAGAACTGTCTGCTGGTGAGCTCCCAAGTCAAGGCCACTAAGGCCTGTGCAGGAAGGCTTCCTGCGACACCCCTGGAACTTAGAAAAGATGTCAACATGGTTCACCTTTGCTAATGAAGCTACCAACGTTCAATGCCTCTTCCCTCAAGAGAGACTTGCAGGCTACAGGGCCGGCGGGGCGGGGGGCGGGAGGGAGAGCTGCATTTCCTCGCTGGCACTGCAGATGCCTCCAAGGGAGGGGCCAAGCAGAGTGGAAGATGAGCTCTGCCTCATAAGGTAAGAGGTTCCACAAATACGAGAAAAGTGGAAAAAAAGAATAGGAATGTTCACTGCTATCTACCCTTTGGGATGCCCCCAAATCGACACACACCCTTCTTGCTATGTCTTTTAAAAATGCTTTCACAACATTGATCACCATCTGCTATGGATTGCCAATGTCGTATCTTTAAAATCAACTGGACTTTTGCTGTCTGGAAAGCCATCCAGGCTCTATAACTCACAGATTTCCTTCTCTTCCTTCCTTAATTTCCCTAAGGGTCTCTTGGTGGCAACTATTTCAGGGTATCAATTTTCTCATCAATCAGGGTTCTTAAAGATGCAAGGAATAGAAATTAAATTTGGTCAATTTAAGAAGAAAATGAATTCACTGAAAGATTTTGGATTGTTCATAAAATCTCCACAAGGGCTGAAAACAAAATTCATATCACTGAACTAGAAGTATAAAGACTCTACTGCCATAGACAGTGGGCCAGAACCTGCAGCTAACGCTGCCAACCTCACCAAGCTGGGCTCTGAATGTTGCTACACCGCCTACCCTCACCAGAATGCAGTCAGCTTGGTCCTGGCGTCTTCATGTGACTAAATTCATTCAACATCTAGGGTGGGTCATATTGTCAGTGCCCTGGGTGCAAGAAAGGATAGAAAATGATTGCCTGGCCTTGTCAGTTTCTATAGTGAGAAGTGGACTCTGTTTAATAAGGTGAGAAATTCTCCAAAGGAATTTATATGTGTGATGGCAAAAAAACACTCAGATGTCCATCCATATGAATCTTAAGACCCCTTCTCTCTCCTACTGCTTCCCTCTGTTACTGCCTACCCACGCAAATTCAGAGTTCTTGATTTGTTAATACCCTAGAAAAGGGTTCTGAAGGATGTTACTTAAGATAACGTAGAGATCAGATTGGGAGACACTGTGACATTTGGGAAAGAATGCTGAATGGAAGTCAGGGATTATAATTCTGAATGTATCACATATTAGGTGTGAGAATTTGCATAATTCATTCAAATTATTTGGGCCTCAGAAGTAATTCATAGAAAAATCCCATACAGAAGACATGAGACTTCTTATACTTTCTGTTCTTACATGTTATGCATGGTTCTCTATATTATATTAAACAAATAAATTAGGAAATGAGAATTTATTTGTACCATTTTTAACATCCAAAGTTTAAATATCACTCAGACTGTTCATGAATTACAGGGATGGTCACCAAAGGAATCACCTTTTTTAGAGATGTGCTTGTTTTGGAAATTAGCCAAAGATAAGAGAAGTGAGGAGGGCCTACTAGGATGTTTTTGTTCACTCATGTTTAAATTTGCAACACTGATAATCCCTGAAATATTTAATCTCTTTCCATTCTAATTTTTTTATTGACTTTGCAATCATTAGCACAGACTTGCTCAATTTAAAAAGGAGAGTGAGATTTGCCTACACTTGAAAAGCTAAGCTCTAACAAGCATTGAGCAGTCTCTGGAAACTCTTTCTAACTTACTCAGATCCTGTAAATGAAATGTTAGTTCATGTGCTGCTTTGAAGTATTCAATCAAAAAGATGAAAAGGGCCAGAAAGGGAAAATCAAGAAATTAAACTCCGAAGTCTGAGTATAGACAAGTAGTGAGCAAGAGCAAACAAAGAGCAAAGTGCTAAAATGAACTCTTGGTTGCATAGAAAATGAAAGAAAAGAGCTCGTATTTTTCTTTTCTTTTTAAAAGAATGATACAATTTCATTTAATTCTTACTAAAATAAAAAAGGTAAGAGCCAGAACAAGTAACATTTCCTTTAGTAAGGAAGAACACCATATGCTTGGTGGGGGAAAAAACTTTTTGCCATTCAGCTGGGGGAGGGCCTTCCTATAGGATGCAAAAAGATTTGTTTTTCCAGACCAAGAGAGTTCATTTCCATTTTTCAGAATGTTTAACATTAGGATATCTTTGAATTGTTTTAATACATTTATAGGATAGAGGAGAAAAATATGCCTCTCAAAAAAAAAAAAGTAAAAAGGTACATATATCCAATATCCATTTCAAAGAGATTGAAAAATTAGATATCTGATTTCTCAACTGCAGTCAGTTGAATTTAGCCACCACTGACTTCATGCAAAGACAAAAAAAAAAATTTGTTCTCAAAGATTTGTAATCTCTAAAGGTGAAAAACATACACAAGGTAAACCTAGTAAAAAGGAATACATGTTAAGTGTCATCAGACACTTTATTCTTTTATAGCACTTAATTCTTTATTATACTATTACTTACATTGCTTTGAAATTATTTGTCCACTTGTCTATCTCTTTTATCCAACTGTGATATCTTATTCCTTTCTAGACTAGTGGTTAACCTACAGAAGGGGCTCAATAACTGTTTATGTAATAAATGAGACATAGAAATTAATGAATAAATGAAGAAAATGGTTACGATTTAGGAACAAGAATCATGTCTGGCAAGGTAAAGTCATTTAAGTTGGATCTTAAAGGATTTAAAGTTGGGAGTTTGACAAAATGAATGTGGGCAGAAAGAGGTAGGAAATAGGCAAAAGAAATATAGAGCTGAAAAACAGCTTAGAAGCCTAATTTTAATATAACTTCCCATCAAATGTAGGAATTTCATCGATTATGATGCTGATAGGTAGGTAAGTACCACATAAAGCACACAGGCCTGCTTCTTAGCTAATCTAGTTTGGTTTGAAAACTAGAACTAGTTTTGATTCCGCTATAAATTTCAAAATATTGATTATACAAAATCACTTCGTTTTATAGGAAGTTAATCTTTTTCTGTGATGGGTACTTTTTCTAGTATTGCTGCTTGTAAATTTAACAAAATTAAATACTCAGGTTTTGGATCACAGTACCTGATAAACACTTTAGAGTTTTTTAAAAATTGTGGTAAAATGCACATAACATAAACCTCACCATCCTAATGGTTTTTAAGTGTACAGTTCAGTGGCATTAAACACATTGACACTGCTGTGCCACCATGACCATCCTCCATCCACAGAACTCTTTTTATACCTAAGATTTTTGAAACTTAAAAATATAAAATTTTACTGCATGCAAAAAAACTCAGGTACATTTTTAATAAAGCTATTTACGTTTTAAACATGTGACAAAATTCAGAGTAGAACTTAAAATCAGTTAACCAAACTTCTGGGCTTGGCATGTAATGGTGATTGTATAAAGCACTGGCTTCATAAGTAAATATCTAAGATTAATCTAAAAATCTTGTACATTTTTCTCTTAAAATAACATAATTCAAAGTATTAAAAGTTCAATTTCACAAATCCAGAAAAGAGATTTCTGATAGTCTATGAAACTAGATGCTCTTCTTTCAATGAATAAATCCTATGGGACATAAGACAGGTAGTGAAGGATCGAACTTTAGCTTATTCCGTGCCATCACAGTGGCGGTTATTTCTTACCTGTGGGAGCCACCCATGCCAGAAGAAATGGTTTCAGTTCGTGTGGTGATTCCATTTAACGGGGCAATGTAAGAAGCAGCGGTGTTTCCCAATTACCTGCTAGGACTCCGTTAACTGAAGAGCAGAGCAGGTAGAATTACAGACCAGGGTTTCAGGATCCAAGCCCAGTTTTATTTCTATGAGAACTATTTCTCTAAAATTACAACCTTCTATATCTCTTTATAATGGTTTCTTCAGTTCAGACTCTTAATCAGAACATTTCTTTTTCTCAAATGCTACCCCCAGCAGTTGATTTGATTTTAAAGCTATTTCTGGAGCAGGTGCCGAAGCTTGGGAAACAGTTTCAATGCATTCTGTGTTGTCACTTCTATAACTTCTTCCACTGAGATCCCTTTCACTTGGGCAATATATTCTGCTGAAATGGAAACGTTTTTCGGCTCATTCCGCACCTGAAAGAGAACAAAGCAGACACCAAATCAAACATGACTATAAGAGAAGCAATCCTTGGAGACTGTAGATAAAACAGAAGAAAATGAGTTGGTAAAAACAACTGATAAGCTCTTTTTATTTCTTATGGAGGGAGCGGGTAGGCGAGGCTAGGGAGAAGGTCCTGAACTTCAACTTAAAATGTATAGCTACAACACTGATTGTAAGTCTATGTTGCTCTTGTAAAGGGCTCTGGGGTATTAACAGTTGAGATATCAGCACCGAGCTTATAAAACAATCTGCAAATAGTTGACACAAGGTGACCTGGATGACTGATGGATCAACTATCCCTTGGTTTGTTGCTTAACCAAGTGCTTGTAAAGGTCACTGCTCTGCTGCTTGGCCTCTTCAACTCACTACATTTGATTGGCCTCTTCAACTCACTAGTTTGATTCAAGAAATGCCATCGTGTATCTGGAAGACTAAATAGATTATGTACTGATTCTAAGATGCAATTCCCTCCTATTTTCACATTTCTGAAATTGATACATGTTCTACTTACATTCAACGGCGTATCATAGTAAAATTGGTATGTTTTTTTCAATGGTCACAAAACAGTGGTATATTTACAATCATTTAGAGTGTGCATTTAGATTTGGTGAAATATACTATTATTCTTATCATTAAGTTATCTACTCAGGATGATAATGTTCAGAGGAATAAGATAACTATTAAGGTTAAGAAAAATAACCTTGGCAATGTAGCCTAAGGAAACAATAAAAAATTTCCACCAAGATTTATGTTCAAGGATGTTTATCATATTATTTATAATACTGTGCTGAAAACGACCTAAATCTCGATATCAAGTTAAATATATTACGGTACACTCACACACTGGAAGATTATGCAGATATTAAACAACATGAGGAAAAGTATATTTACTGACACATTTATATCCACATAAAAGCAAGTTATGAAATGATGTGTTCAGGCTAATCCTATTTTTATGAAAAATATATATGTGTACATATATAGATATAAAAAAGTCTGAAAGGACATAAATACTTGTGTTTATTTAGTGTTTACTGTAGCTGAGGTTTTGTTCTAAGCTTTTTGTGAAATTTCTCATTTCATCCTCAAAAAAACTCTATGAGATAGATACTATTATTATTAGCATCCCTTTTTAATAGGTAAGAAGGGATCCTAAATACCTAGTAAGCAGCTGGGTGGGGTTTAAACCTGTGCAGTCTGACATCAGAGTTTATGCTCTTAACCCATTACACTACAGTGGTTTTAGTGGTAAAGAGTTCCATTTTCTTGTTTATGATTTTCTGTGTTTTCTAATTTTCTAAAATAAACATTTTACTTAACAAAAAGCATAATCAGCTAAAAATTCATTTATTCAATATTTTTGAGTACCTACTATGTACAAAGCACTATGCCACTCACAATTTTTATCAAACCAACTAAATACAAACATAAAACTGAGTTACAACAGCACTTGAAATCCATTTCTGTTTAGGAAGAAAAATGCTAGATCCTTTTCCTTCTCTTTTACATCAGGAAGGCAATTCTCTACCATTCTGTCCTACACCCAAACAAAAAAAATAACTGGAGTTGCGATGCCTCTAATAACAGGATTTATAGCAAAAATCACAAATAAATCTGTGACTATATCAGTACTTGTACTGAAATATAGTCTCGTCATGCAAATTAAAAGAAAAATAAACATTCACTGAGCATCTACTGTATACTAGATACTGCTAAGCACTTTCATATATATTATTTCATTTAATTCTCACTATAATACTTAAAGTATTTTATTATTATTTTGCCCACATTTTGTAATGAAGAAATAGTTTCAGAGAGATCAACAACTTGCCCAAAGTCACACAGTTAATGGGTAGCAGATTTGAATTCAGGTTTTTATGACTCTAGACACTGAGCTGTTTGCTATACTGGTCTGGCTCTCATTATTACATAAATTAGAACATAGCTCATATCAAATAATATTCTCTGGGCCACAAGAATTATATTTAGAAAAGACCAGAAATTAAGTTAATATAACCTTTCAACCTAGCATTAAAATAGGATTTCATTGTATTAACACTGTAATAAAAAACACAGCTAAATTGAGAATAGCTCAAATGAAAGATATAATCTAAATATTGTAGAAATCAGAAAATCATTTACCTGTTTTTCTGGTCCTAGTACAGGTGAATCTGTTTCTAAGCAAATTGAAGTTAAAGGCAACTGTTTCACAAGTTTCTGCTTCTTAAAGATAAGAGAAAGCTAGTAAGTTTAAAACATACAAAATAAAGATTTAAAGAAAGGAGCATTAAACCTACATGTCAATGCATTGTACTCTGCGAGAACTTAAAATTCATGCTTCAGTATTCAATTAATAAACATTCACTATGTTCTCTTCATTCCATTACCAACAGATTTAAACAGAAACATTCATTACCCAAAATTATCCAAAGACTCCAGGGACCCAAGGAGTAGTTACCAATAACACAAAGTGGGGTGCACCCAGCAGGAAAGCCAAACATCTGAAGGCCAGACAGCCCACTGAAAGGTCTAAGGAAGAGACATCTGTTGCTCCTCTGCCATCATCACACTCTTCCGCCATTCACTTTCAAGTCACTCGAGGCTTTCTGTTTATAAATCCGAAGTTCATATACACATTTTAAATTTTAGAGTGGGTGGTAGGTGGTTTTATTTTTTTATTTATAATTTTCTGTCTGGATTATAAGGATTGCAATGAACTCAATGAGTTTTATACCAGGAACATAATTCTTTTGCTATCACTACACTTTTAAAGCGAAAAATAGGAAGGGAACACGATGCAAAGTAGAATATTTTTATGATAAATTATTTTAAGATTAAAATTTCAAACGTACAGAAATAGGTATACTCATGCATAAAAAGTTAAATTATGTATAAACTTCTTTGAAGGAAATGTGACAATTTAAACAAAAATTTTAAAATGTACACCAATTTTCTCAGTGATTCCATTTATAGGGAGTAATAGCATGAGTGTGCATATATATTTGTGGATGTACAAAAGTATTCACCTAAGCACTGTTTATAATACTGAAAAATTAGAAACAACCTAACATTTCCTTAAGTTAATGCTTAAATAAATTATGGTACATCCAGTTTATGAAATATTATGCAATCATTTTAAAGATGAAGTAGGTCTATATTTATTGACACAGATATCCATGAAGCTGATTCAAAACAAAAAGCATAAGAGTATCTTCCTATTTTATCTGAATCAATGTAAACAATGATTTTCTCTGGGTGGTAAGATCTGGGTTGACTTGAAATTTGTTCTTTTCTGAAATGTTTTACTTTCTATAATGTACAAATATTATGTTTAAAATTAGAAAAAAAATAGTATTTTAGTTTTGAAAAACAAATATACCAAAACCAAAGATTACTACTAAATAATAAATTTCTTCACAAGCGATGAAAGTAGGAAAAATAAAAATAATCTTGGACTATCAATTGACATTTCCAGAACACTCCACCCAATAATAGGAGAATACACTTTCTTTTTAAGTGTATATGTTCTCTTCACCAAGACAAACCATATTCTGGGCCATCAAACAAACCTCAGCCAATTTAAAAGAATGAAAGTCATACAACGTATGTTTCCTGAATACAACATAACTAAAATAGAAATCAATAATGGAAAGATATCAGGAAAACTTCTAAGTATTTGGAAATTAAACAAAACACTTTTAAATAATTGCTATGGTCAACGGATGTCACAAGGTAAATTAGAAAATGTTTTGAGCTGAAAGTGAAAATAGAGCATATATCAGAATTTGTGGTTAATGCTAACACGACTATAACATTAAATGTTTATGTTAGAAAACAAGAAAGGTTTCAAATAAATTATCTAAGGTTCAACCCTTAAGAAATTACAAAAAGAAAAAAATTACAAAAAGAAACTATGAAAAGGCTAATATATCATAATCAAGTAGAATATATCCTAGGAGTGCAAGGTTGGTTCAACATTAGAAAATCAACCAATATAATTACATGCCATGAAAAGAAAAACTACATGGTCATCTCGGTAGATGCAGAAAAGCATTTGACAAAATCCAAAATCTATTTTTGATAAAAACTCAGCAGACTAGAAAAAGAACTGCCTTAACCAGAAAAAAAGGCATTTATGAAAAATCTGCAGCTAATATCATACTTAATGTTAAAAGAATCAATGTTTTTCTCCTTATCAGGAAAAAGGGAAGGGTGTCTGCTTTTATTACTTCTATTAGATACTCTACTGGTAGTTGTATACAGTGAAATAAGGCAGAAAAAAAATTAATAATAAATAAAGGGCACAAATATTAGAAAGGAAAAAGTAAATCTATCTTCATTAAAAAACGACATGATTGTCTACATAAAAAATCATGAAAATTTTATAAAACTCTCCTGGCTCTAATGAATAATTCAGCAACGTCACTTGATAAAAGTTTACTATATAAAAATCAATTGTATTTCTAGATACTAGCAATGAATAACTAAAATTTTAAAACCAGTACCATTTAAAATAGAACATATGAAATAATTAGGGATAAATCTAAATATGTGCAGGATTTGTATGTTGAAAATTATAAAACATTGATGAACGAAATCAAAGATCTAAATAACAGCTATACTGTGTTCACATCAATTATCTCCAAATAGATCTATAGATTCAAAGTAATCCCGATAAAAATCCTGGCCAGATTTTTTTATAGAAATCATGAAGCTTATTCTAACACAAATAGAAAGGCAAAAGACTTAGAATAGCCAAAATGATTTTGAAAATAAAGAGGTAACTGGAATTCTCATACTATCTGATTTTAAAACTTACTGTAAATCTAATGCAATCATGACAGCATGATATTGGCATAAGGAAGTAGGGACCTAAGATGAATTTTTGTAAAGTAACTAGAATAGTTTCACATGTATGTAGTAAAAGCTCATATTTTAAAGTATATTTCACAAAGTATAAGATGAGGTAAAAGAATTTACCTGTCCACTTCTTATGATAGAAGGAGGAATTGAGAAGAAGTATCCAGCTTTCACTCCTTCCATGGCTACAGATGGCCGGCCGTCAAACGCATGAAGCAGCACTTTGTCAGCACCTCTCAAAAATAAAAGATAAATCAGAGTACCATTTTATCTCCTTAGAGGTTTTTCCATTAATTAATCAAATTGAACAATAAAGATCAGAAATTTTAAGTAAATGTTGGTCACTATGATATAAAGATAAAGTTCTATGACTTCTAAAGGGTGGATAAATGTAGTGTTCAAACAGTAGAATAAAAATAAATTCTTAATCTTCAGAATTAAAATATTAAAATTGAAGTGCAAATTTTTAAACATTTAGTCTTCTATACCATCAAACATTTTCCAGAACTTTGTGAACTGTCAAATTATTATTCTTTTCAGAACTTTATGACCTGTCAAATGATTGTTCCTAATAGGAGGTTTTTAAGCAGCCAAATAGTCCTTAACAGGAGTGCTAGTGGAAGAAGAAAGGGGGAGCTAACCGACTCACAAGTGAATAGTTAGCTTCATGAAATCACCTCCACTTCTTAAAGAATGGCTGCTTAGCCTGCTTAAAAATCATGGTCTCCGGGATTCCAAAAGGGTTCAGTACTCATCACTGAGAAATGCAATGCTTTCTAGTTGTAGGCAATTACATTTACTTCACTATTTGACACTGTTTTTTCAAATGGCAGGTTTGACCATTACTGGGTTACAATCACCAGTGAGTTATGAAATCAATTTAGTGGGTCACTACTGACCAGTGTATGCATGCGCGCGTGCACGCGCGCACACACACACACACACACACACACACACGCACGCACACACACACACAGATGTACTGCTTCTTAAACTTTTGTTGGTTTTCTGTAAGTGTATAGACGGAGTCTCAAAATAAAGTCTTAATATCGAAAACAGTATACATGTGTATATACTGAGTCTCGAAGTATATTTCTTACTATGGCCAGCACTTTAAAAAATTTGAAAAATAATGCTATAAGATATATTTTTACTTTAGGAATATAAATTATTTGATCCAATTTTTCATTTGCTTTATCTTGGCCTGATAAATGCCACAATGACACTGAAAACCCTGTAAACATTTGTAAAATCATCCTAGTTGATTTCCACTCCACTCTTGCCCTATTTCCTTCCATTTAAGAAATCAAAATATGGCATGTTCTATAAGAATATGGACTGGAACTGCCAAACTTAAACATTAGGCACATTTGTCTCAAGAGCTTAAATACCTTGCTCATTTAAGAGGTTGATGGTGGGTCTTCCAGCTGAGCGTGAGTGGACATTTCTGTTTAACAACAACAAAAAATTCCATTTAGGTACTTAATCTGGTAATATTATCTTTGTTCTATTAAATTAATTCAGCAAAAAAGAAATTTAGAGCTCAATTTCGAAGGAGTCATTACTTAATTTGCTCTATAGCTATTAATAAAGAAAGATGATTAATTAACCTACAAAGGCAAATTTAGTCTTTTGGCTAATTGGACCTGTCTGATTAGAACTTGTCTTTGCTCTTCCTTCTGTTCATCAGTGCCCGCAAATCTGGGGGAGAAATCTAGTCCCACCTATAAGAGTAAAAAAACCAAAATTACATTTTTATATATTAATGAACCCCAAAAGACATACTATGGATCAGTACTGTCCAAGAGAGATATAATGGGAGCCACACATGCAAGCTACATGTCACTTTACAGTTTCTGGTAGCCACATTAAAAACATTAATACTTTATTTAATCCAATATATCTAAAACATTATCATTATTATTATATAGGAATATTATTTTAACGTATAATCAATGTAAAAATTATTGAATTATTTTACATTGTTTCTTTGGGGTACTATACTTATAGCACATCTCAATTTGGACCAGTCACATTTCAAGTGTTCAGCAGCTACATGTGATCATCACCTTGGACAGAAAAGATTATAAATGACTGCTTCCCTTGCATACTATTTTGGCATGCATTGTTATAATCTATATTCTGAGTTTAAGTGTTATTCTTATCTTTGTCTTTATCTTTAAGTAGAAGTGGAATTTATTACCAAGTGATAAAAATGTTTCACAACAGTAAATAATAAAAAATGTTCTTTAATTATAAACTCTAGCCTATGTAAAGTATGTTTGTATATATTATTTTAACTAACTAGAGAGATGACCCATATTTAAGCAAAAGAAAAAAAGAGAGCAAAGTATATGGAAATGCTAATAAAGTATTAACATAAATCTTTGGTGAGGCTTTCTACTGTTTCATCCCCAAGCTCTTTTGCTTATTGTCAAAGTTTCTATAAATCATTATTCAGCTGAACAGGGTGAACATAATTATTTAAGTCAGTTATAATAACCAATACTGAATTAAGTATTATTTTCATATATCATATGAAAGTCTGGATTAGAAGTCATTTGATCAGCTAATGGGTGTTTACCTCTCCAATTGCCAACAATCGATCTTTATAATTCTCAATAATGGGCAAAGCTTTATCCAAATCCTGAGAGAAAAAAATATATGTGTTAAAATAGAAGGAGAAGGAAACTAATATCTTATAAACACCTGTTATATGCCAGGCACCATGCTGTACTGGGTCCTTTACATATATTCAATTCCTTTAACCAGTTGAGGAATTAGGAATAGTAATCCTATAATGGTGAGTACTTCTATCTGGAAATTTGAGTAGTAATATCCCACACCCATTCAGGTTATAAGAACATAACTTTATGAAGATTCCCACTTAAACACTTCCTTCTGTTTAGGAGGCATTTCTTGGCATTTGGGAGGACTGATTTGGATTTCCTGGAATAGATGAGCAAGAGAGAAGAAAGCCACCAGGGAGGTACCTTTGCAAGTGAGTTTTTGGGAGTGCCTTATGATATGTCCTTCTTTTAGGGTACTAATGGTTTGTGAGTTTATAATAGCAATAATCCCATACATCCTTTGCACTATTTTCACTGATTTCTTTGTCTTTATAATCCTGCTTGGCCTAGTTTTGTCCTAAAAATTAACAATATAAACGCGAAATATCACATATATGCTTGTTTGTCAACTATTGAAGTAACTGTGTACCATTAGTTTCTATGATCTTTCCACTTAGAGAATTTGCCCTGTGAGAGTTAGTTCCCTTGTAAGGCAAAGGAAAGAAAAATATGGAAAATTTGCTTCTAGATATCTTTTAAATTATTTTGAGGATTTTAGTCTCAGAAGTATCTGATCATCCTCAGGTACTTCGACTGAGAATAATCAGAACAAGGGAGAATTAAGAAAAGAAAGCTAAAACAAATGGCAGAGAAACAGGAGATTTTACAATTATGCCTCGAGAGAGAAAAGAAGATGCGGGAGAGTAAATCAAGGCTTTAGAATAGATTCTACTAAATCAATGAAGAAGAATTAACATTGTCTTGAGGAGCTAAGCGTATTTAACCCCAGATATCAGAAAAGATGTCTGACAACAGCTGAGTAGGTTAAACAGTGTCAGGCAAAGCTTTTTCCATATCGAACATCCAAACTGCTGTCTCTGAAAAAACTAGAAAGATTATCTAGGAAATGTCTGACACTTAGAAACTCGTAGTCAGAAGTTGCATTTGGATGAAGACCAGACACAGGAAAAAACATGCTTCTTGGAATATTATTGTTTATGAAAAAAGCAAAACTATTACAATGATACTGTTCTAACTCCTCATGAAATAATTTGTAAGTTTCTGGCAAGTCAAGGATAGTAAATAGAAACAAATATAAATCATATTACTAATTTAATCTGTGTAAATATATTTGTGTGTATAGTCTTGATCATTTTAATAGATATAAGAATATTTATAAGGACATTCACAGGCCTATTTGTGACTTTAGTTCTATTCCTACTTCTCAAGTTCCTTAACAGCTAATGTTTCTATTACAGGGGAGTTTTAAAGATCCTAAATCTCTATCCCCTAAGATTGGGTATATGACTACTATATAATTATTCATGATTTACAAATGAGGAAATTGAGACTTGGCAAAGTTAAGTGAAGTGCCACAGATCGCAGAAGCCATAGGCCCGGTCTCTCCCATGCTGCTGAGTAGTTTGAGTTTAAGAAGGGAAGAGGGAAGGCAGGCAAAAGGCAAAAGGGAAGGAAGAAAGAAAATTTATTCTGCATGATTTTAACTAATTACGATGGATTTTTTATTTAAAAAAATGTTTAGTCTTCAGAACCTTTAGAATAGGGGCAGGTGCATGACAGGAATGAGTGAAGTGGGCAAAGTAGGGATAGGAGCCAACTGGAGGGTACATGATTGTGGTCAGTGAACTGTGATTCTCCAAAGTATTCCCAGGACCTAAACTCTGCCTGGTAATAATATTTACTGAAAGAATTAACTCAGGAATGTGTTAAAAGATCTGTATGATAAGCAATTTTCATTTCAAAAACCAAGTTAGTTTAACGACTGCTAATTATATACCTAGCTTTGCATCACATTATTAGGAGCTGATGATCTAATCAATGCAGGAAAATTAAACTATGGTACAGCCAATAAGCACAGTAGGAATAAAATGAAAATAACTGCTTATCTGGTCTTTTCTAGATGACTATTTGAGATTTGATGAGCTCCTATCTGCTTTGAGAATCTAGAATTATATTGTTGGTATTTTAATTACTTCTGTAACTTAAAAAATCCTATGGGTTCCACATTCGTGTTGAAAATATGCCAAATCCACCCACTTCTCTTCATTTCCTCTGCTGCCACTGGTCCAATCCACTATTGTTTCTCACATGGGAAATTGCAATAGCCTCCTAACTATGCTTCTTCTTCCTTTTTTTTTCTCTTCAAAATTCATCCTTCACACCATAGCCAAAAGGTTTTCTTCAAAACATAAATCATATAAATCACATCTTGTCACTCCTCACTTTAAATCCCCCATTGATGTAAGCGAACATCCAGCAAGGCCCTGTATGAAGCCATCCCTGCCCAATCCCTCTGACCTCATCATTCATTACTTCTTCCTCTCTCTAGTCATATGTGCTCTTTCTTTTTCTTGACCACATCAAATTTGTTCCCACCTTAGGACCTTTGTGCTTGGCTGTTTCCTTTGCCTACAACACTCTGACCCTTCTCTTTGCTTGACCAATTCCTTTGTAGCATGCAGGTTGCAGTTCGAATGTCACCACCTCAGAGAAGTCTTCTTTGACTACACAATCTAATAGCCAGCATCCACAATCCCGATCATATAATCTTGTTTTATTGTCTTTAACACATTTAGGGCTACCTAAAGTTTTCCTGTTTGTGTATCTAATTGTTGATTGCCTATCTGCTCCCATCTAGAATCTAACTTCCATGAGAGAGATTTTACTCTACAGTGCCTGGAATGCAGTAGGTGCTCAGCAAACACTTGATTGATTAACTACATCAATGCCTTTTAATATAAATCTCGGCATAAATAAAACAAATGCTGTCCCACCATGATCCCCAACATTTTGGGAATTGTAACTCTGGCAATTTAGCTAACTATCATATCAACAACTCAGGAGAGCTACAGCATACTTATTTTTACCTGAAGTGAATTAAAAGCAATTTTGTCTCAAAATAAGTAGAGCTATCTGGAGTATCTTAATGTAAAAATACAAACTCATTATTACAAAAAAAGATACTCTCTTATCTTAATTTATTCATAGGTAACAAAAAGTCTTTATTTCTTCAAAATGGGGCTCTTGAGCCCATTATGTAATAAAGCACTCAAAAAATTGCATCTCCCTGATGCTGAGTCAGGAGATAAGCCTTAAATGTAAGAAATAGCGACTATTGTGAGTATGTGAGATCTTGTAGGTAGAATCTTTTTTATGCTTTTTTTTTTTTTTTTATGCCTACAGCACCTGGTCTTCCTAGGTGGTCTCCCATCCAAGTACTAACCAGGCCCGACTCTGCTTAGCTTCCGAGATCAGACACGATCAGGCTTGTTCAACGGTGGCATGGCCAGGATCTTTTTTAAAGAGGCAATAAAAGTAATGCAGTTTAATAGATCAAGAATGCTCCCGGAGGAATGGTCTAATGTTCAAAGAGAATGTTGTGTACTTGAACTCATCTGTTCCCTTACAGTAATGCATCTATGAATTTGTATCTTTCTTTTCTGGATATTTTATTTATTTATTTTTTTTTGCCAAAGCAATATAATACGATAAAAAAATATATAAAAACAAGTCACTATAATTCTACCAGATCATCACAGCTACTATCATTTCTGTGTTTTTCTCTAGTCTTTTTGTTATAGAATATATTTTTATGTGATATAACTCATACTGAATAAACCATTTGGTATCTAGCTTTTCTTCCCATGTTGCTAAACCATAAACCATATAACCCTCATTTTTTATAAATACATTATATTTAACACTCTACAAGGTAACTAATTATTCCTTTATTTCTGAATCTCTAGGCTGCTTCCCCTTTTTCTCTATTATATAATGGTGTAATGAACATCTTTGGGAAAGAAGGTAGTATTTTCTTATTTTGGATTATTGCCTTAGACTATAAATCAGAGAGAGGAAGATTACTGAGTCAAAAGTATTATCCTTTTTCATAGTTCTTGTGTTATCTGTTACCTTTAATGTGACACTTCTTTGGTCTTCTGGTGAAAGTCCTTGAATTGGATGAACACCCAAGCATGGCAGAACAAATCCATTATACCTAAAAAGGTATAAAAAATTAAGAAAGCAGGAATATTAGACTAGTAGACAACATTACTAAAGAACAAGTAGGAAAGAATATTTTTAGGGCTATATTATTATTATATTTTTCTTCTCATTCTCTTTAAAAATGATCATTGATATTATAAATATGACATCATAACTGCATCCATACTAGTAACTCTGAGATCTTAATGAGAAGTAGCACCTTTCTGAGAGCTGTATAATCTTTTCAAATTCTCCTGAATGTTCAGCAACCACCACAAGAGCCATAACATTGGCCTGAAACAAAAAATAATAGTCAGAGTCACAAATAATATATATCCAATATAATTAAATAAAATTGTAATGTTTTCTGTGTTTTTAGTTATTTTTCCTCATTCATACTCCATCAATATAATCATAATGGCTATCGCCGAGTACTTGCTACATTTCAGGAACTATGTTCAGTGAACATAAATATTACTTCATTTAATCTACACAACCCTATGAGGTAGGCATTGCTGTAATCCATTGTGTAGATCAGGACGGAATTTTGGATGGAGTCAACTTGCCCAAGATCATTAGGCATATGTAACTCCAAAGCCCACACTCTTAATTAATCTGTCATAGTGAAAGATGGCTGTATATAAAAATGTACTGGCAATCACTTCTCACTAACACTTTTGGGGAAGCCCATGAAATGCTAGTTATAATGAATTTCATAAACGCTTATAAAAATTAATATTTTTTTCCAAACAAATCAAAATGTTTCAGAAAACTTTTACAATTTCTCCAAGATTTCCAGAATAATGTTAATTTTAAAATTGACAGATGCACTAATCCATATTGCTAATAAGCATGGTGGCTGAGAAACATGTTTTGGATTCAGACTATCTTGTCTGATCACTTTATGAGCAGTGTGTCTATTGGACAAGTTACTCTCTAGTCCTTAGTCTCCTCATCTATAAAATAGGCAATGGTTAGCTATAAAATAGTAGCTTTCTCAGAAGGTTGTTATGAAACATGAAATGAGATAATGTACAAAAAGGGCTTAGCTCAGTACTCACACAGTAAACACTTAATAAATGCAACTTATTATTGACTTATTATTACTGAAGCATCAGCATAGCATATCTAAATTTCGAGCTGTTCTAGCTTGAAATTAGTAGGAAAGAGAAAACAAAAGAAGAGGGAATTATAAATACGGACTTACTTTCTTGGCTTTCTCCAAGACATCATCCAGATCCTAAAATAAATAATCACAATTATTTTAGATGAATATGTAACTGCTCCTTGGCTGCATATTATCAATGTGGTTGAGGCACCACAAAGAATGACAAAGATGGCAAGAAACAGCATGGTGGAATGTGAAGAGCCTACACCCACCCACCTTCTGTTTACTCTTTTTCAGTAAAATCTAAGTTTTGTTACACTGCACTAAAAAGGAAATTTATTGTCCAATGTAAAGAACACTTCTCTGTCCTCCTCTTACTCTACCTCTCACCAGCATTAGAAACTCCTTACTCGTTCACTCCTTCCTTCCTGAAATATTTTCCACTCTTGGCTTCTGCAATACCACTCTCCTGCAAACACCACTCTCTTACTGGCTACTTCCCTGGCTCTCTCAGTCTCCTTCACTGGCTCTCTCTCTTCTGATTACAGGACCTTATGCTCCTTTCTCTGTACTCACTTTAAATGATCATATCCACAGGTTTAAATATCATTATTACACTAGTGAGTCCCCAATTTTTATCTCCAGCCTATTTTTCTCTCCAAACCCCAAGATTCACATTAAAAAATGATTATATGAATGTGCCAAATTCAACCCATTTGCTTTCCATTTGGATGGATATTAGGCCTTAATATGTGCCAAACATAACTTTTTATTTTCTCCCCAACAAACCTACTCCTTCTGCCTGCCCTGCCCAACCTATCTTCCCTCATCTCAGTAAAGGGCACCACCGTCCTCCCTACAGCATCAAGTCCTCTCTTTCTCTCCCTCTCTACATCCAATTCCTCACTCAGAACGTACTACAGATCCTATCTCTAAAATATACCTTGAGTCCATCTAATTCTCTCAAATTACCCAAGCAACCACCATCGCCTCTTGTCTATATACTGCAAAACCCTCCAAACTAGCCTTCTATCTTCCACTCTTGCTCTCCTCTATCCGTTTATTCACATCAGCAAAATGGTTTTAAATGGACATCAGAGCTTGTCGCTCTCAAAAGAAAAAAAAAATAAAGAAAAAAAAAAGAAAAAAAAAAGAAAAAGAAAAAAACCTTTACTAGATCTGCATTGTTCTCCTAATGCAATCCAAACTCCTTACTGACCTACCTCACCTATCTCCTGCAAACCCCTCCAGTCTTGTTTCATGCCTCTTCCTAGCTCATCAGGCTCCATCCAGCATCTTGGTAGCATGAACGTGCCAAATTCAACCTGCTTGCTTTCCTCACCACCGTACACCCATCTCCTTGTTTGGCTGGCTCTCTGTCTTTCCAGGCCCAACGTTAAGTGTCACTTCTTGAGAGGTTTCCTCCCTAAAACAGACTCCGTTCTTCTTTCTCTATTAAGAGCCTCTAGTTCCCAATGTAGCGGGCAAAACACTTTGTAACTCTGATCTTTGTGTTTGCTTCTCTCTTCCATTACAAGTGGAGCACGCAGTGAGTGGTAGCGAGTCCGTGTTTTGGAGAACCTGTCCTGGGGAAAGTGGATTCTCAGCCAGGAGCTGAGAGGCGGGTGGGATAAATAGCCAGGCCAAACGGAGGTAGGGGGAAGAACCCGTAATAGCGAATAAAAGTAGAGACAGACTTCTCGCTATTGAGAATCAGAAAAAACAAATCAGTATGACTGAGGTTAAATAGGAAGTCAGGAGCAAGTCACACGGGCCATGGACAGGGGCCTGGGAGGATCTGGGGCTTCGTGCTAAGGGAAAAGAGCAAAGGTGACCTGAAGGGAAAGGACGGGGGTCGCCCCGCTCCCACAGGCCGGGTCTCGCCGTTACATACGCGGTCAAAGTCTGAGTCGGCGAGGTGGCAGTGACAGTCCACCAACCCTAAGCCCACCGCGCCCATCGTCGCCGCCGCTGTGGCACTCTACACTCTGGCAGAGCCTCAGCCGGAACGCTGCTGCGGCGCTGGGCTGAGTTTCCGGCCGCACGCTTGTACCTTTCTCCTGTGGCACTCGCTTCCGCTTCCAGAGTTCCCGCCCACATTTCAAACTGGAAAAATGGCGGGGGCTCCTGACTCGGTGCGCCTTTCGCCTCCGCGGGACGCAGAGAGAGGTGTCGGGGCAGAAGACCGCACCTCGGCCTCCGCCACTTCCCATGAGGACTTCCGGGTGCGCTGCACCTCGAAGCGGGCCGTCACGGAAATGCTGGAACTGTGCGGCAGCTTCGTGCAACAGCTCGGGGAAGCACTGCCAGAGGAGATTCGGGAGCTTGCGCTGCGGGATGCGCAGTGGGTATGGGTCCAGAAACCATCTCTTGTCTTATCACCCCTTTACCCCAGGTCTCAGGGCTTAAGAATCCACGCCAGGCTTCCACAAAGTTAACGGTGCCCCATGCTTCCGTAGAAGCAGCCTGAGAAACCTGAGGGAACGAAACAGGTCTAGTGTCAGCTAGGTTATTATTAATTGCTTAGACCAGTGCTGTCCAATAGAAAAACACAAGGCGAGCTAGGTATGTAACTTAAAAGTAAGAAAAAAATAGGTGAAATTAATTTTAATAATATATTTTATTTAACCCATTATATCCAATATAGAGTTTTAATTTGTACCAATAAAAAATGGAAGAGGTATTTTACATTCTTTTTGTTCGTACTAATCTTTTCACATCTGGTGTCTGAAACTTACAGCTATCTTCTTCAGGACTAACCACATTTTAAGGCTCAGTCGTCCCAGTGGCTAGTGGCTCTCCTATTAGACAGTGCAGACTTATACTCTACGAGGAATTCTCCAGGAACGAGAATCCTGGAAGTCTGTACCAGGCTAGCTTTTGGCTTTACTTTTGCCTGTTTTGGTACATGTTGTGAAAAGATTGAAGACATTTTCCATAGAAGTCTAAGGAAGCTGTCTTGTTAGAAGCTTCTCTAAGATCATACACAGGTCTTTATAACACATCTCCCCTTCCTTTCTCCAATATTTTGCAAAGCCTTGAAGAAGATAGTATTTGGGGGGAAGATACAACAAATGGAAGGATTGATGCCTGTCATATGCAAGCACACAATCTATATGTAGAAAAAAAGTTTAAAATCTTATAATGCAGCACTCCTGTGAGTGTGAATGACCACAATGCAAACAATAAAAGTAAAGATTAAGAATAAGAATGAAGAAGCACTCCCTGAGTTGTGATTCTGTATTCCAGTTTTGTATACAGTGGCTCTTGTGTACAGAGGGAATCTCCTTGTAAGCCAAAGAAGAATAGAGACATACTTCAAGACATAATTTTTTGGGAAAAGACTGCTTCATTGTGTAAGGATCTTAGCGTTTGCTCCTTTCTAGGAAGTGCTAAGATTCTTAGAATATTTAATTATCTGGCAGAAAAAGAGGAACTCAGTTTAACCTAGTATACCTTAATGGGCAACAAAGTGAATTAGAGATAAAGGTTTGAAAACTTAAAACTACCAAGGGAATTCGCTTGTCCTTTAAATAAGAGAACAAAAGGCAGAGGCTTTAACTATGTTGATGTATATCTACCTAAAGCCACATAATATGATAACATTATTTAAAAAATGGTATTGATACAACTGTACCAATGAATACTACAAAGACAATTTGTATTCTCAGGTAATCCTTGAAAGTCTATCTATTAAGTCTATTTATTAAAATTTTAAAGTGTAAAATATGTACTTTAATTCATAATTATCATGCATTATTTGATTTATGCTTATTTTTAATTATACAAAATGTGCAAAAATACATCCTCATTGTAAAAAATAGCACAAAACAAAGTGTTTGAATTTCCCTCCCTTGTCCTTCTCCCTTCCTGGAAATAACTTACTATTTTGGAGGGCCCTTGGAGGGTGCATTCCTTCTATACCCTTTTCTATGGTTCGACATTTCTCTAATTTTTTCTTTTGTTTTTTTATATTAAAAAACAAGTGTCATATCTATGTATTATTAGCAACCTGCCCACCTCCCCCTCCTTTTTTTTTTTTTACCAAATATGTCTGACTATTATTTGTTAGTGTTATGTAGAGATATACTTCATTCTTTTTAAGTATCGTGTGGTGTGGATATATTGAATATTTAACCATTCTCTTAATTTTGAATTTAGATTTTATTTTCTCAGTATTTCATAATTTCAAGCAGTGTGAAATAAACATTCCTAGTACATCCTCTTTATGTTTTTATGAGAATAGTTCTTTAGGGTACATTGTTAAGAGTGAATTGTTAGATAATAGGGAATGTGCATTTAAAATTTTGGTGGTGCTACCAAATTCTTTTTGTCCTTTATTTTTTAATGTATTATGAACATTTTAACCCGACAGAAAATAGACTAGTACAGTGAACACCCATGTATTCATCACCAAATTTAAGTTGTCAGAATTTTCTACACTTCCTTTTTTAAAGCAAATCCCAGATCTTATGTCATTTCATCCCTAAATACTTCACTATACATCTCTAAAAATATACAGTCCTTTATCAAGTAGACATTAATTTCACTTTCTTTTAAGCATGTATATTTTTCCTTTTAACACTGACATTCCACAGCATATGTTATACTTATATCGTTGAGATTCAACTGAGCCCAAATTTGTTAGCTTTTATTTTTTTCTTTCATATAAGAAGTACATGTTTTGTTTTCAAGAATATTCTAAAATTTTGCATCAAATATTCTTATAGGTAGCATAACGGTTATCAGAACTAAAATGTAGGTAGATTCAATAATTGAAATGGAATCTTCATTGAAAATATACTAATAGGCTCGTCTGCCACTTTTCTTTATATTCTCTATCACAAATCTGAAATTGTTATTTTGCCAAAATATTTGAATTCAGTATTTAAAATTATTTTTAGTGACTTGACTATTGTGAATTTATTGCAGACTTTTGAATCAGCTGTGCAAGAGAATGTCAGCATTAATGGGCAAGCATGGCAAGAAGCGTCAGATAATTTTATGGGTATGTGATTTAACTTTTCCTTCTGTCATTAATTTCTGACTTATTTTTGTAGCTAATTTTATTTTGAATGCTAATTTATAATCACCATTTTCAGTGTTACTTCTCTTCCAAATTTTTTTTTACTGTGGGAGAAAAAAGAGAAAACTAATCTTGAGAATTATTGAAGTTGTAATCTGAGGCAAACAACACAGTAGGTACCTTGATCCTTTGTATATTCTATCTGGCATTCTCAACAAGACTTTCATCTGATTAATCTTTGAAAGTACCCTTGTCAGTAGTTTATTGCAAAATACTGTAGAACTATCCCCAGATGAAGAAACAGGCCCAGAGAATTCCTATGATTAATACCTTACAAATCCAGTTGTATTTTTACAAGTGATCCTGAGATAGTGAAGTATCCTTTTAGAAGTGTGAAGTTAAAGTATGATAGTACCATGTAAAGTCTGAGGTCACCATTTGGAGAAATCTTAAAAAAGACAACATTTTCCTGGTCCAATGCAGACTTGTTTGAACTCTAGCTAATGGTGTTGACTTATCTAAAGAACTCAAAGTTTCAGTAGAAAGAAAATATTCAGTGTAGGAAGGAAAAAATTCAGTAGAAAAATAATAATCAGTGTGGGAAGAGAGGCCATATTTTCCAGCAATGTCCAGGAGAAGGTCCACCCTGACGAAAGAGCCAGAGAGTTTTGTCTGGTGATATTCCAGACATCTGACCAGCATACGTTGAATACCACCAGTAACTGTTCTGATTATTTGCTTATACCCTCAAGCTGATTCCAAGCCCATCAAGCAACCCCTTGTGATTAAAATTTTTCTTCTCAACATTAAGATAATACTTTACCCAGAAGACTTCACTGTCTAATACTTAGGGTTTTTATAGTAGTTATTTCTTTAAATTCACCCAAATTCACTTTCTGGTTTACATTTTAAAACATTACAGATAATAGTCTACAGCCATGCCACCCTGAACAAGCCCGATTCCATCTGATCTCGGAAGCTAAGCAGAGTCGGGCCTGGTTAGTACTTGGATGGGAGACCACCTAGGAAGACCAGGTGCTGTAGGCGTAAAAAATAAGGGATTGTAAACTGACAAGGTCCTTGCAATCTGTGAGGTCAAGGGTTGCCTCGCCTAAAAAATCAATCAATAAATAAAAAATAAAACATTACAAATAATAACACTGGATTTCTCAAATATTATCAGAGTGATTGCCAGTAAGTAGGGAAGAAGGAGTATATCAGAATCACCTAGGGGTATTTTCAAACTATGCAGCCTTTCTTGTGTCTTTATCTGACTCTCATTCTGTGAAGTCACTTTGGAATTGCTTTATTGTTTGGTCCAGACTGCCTTTAGCAACACGGTTCATCAATTTATAGATTAATAACTGTATTTTCTGACAGGACGGCAGCCTGGGTCGAGTGTTTATATTCTTTGTCCTTTTTTTCCCCTTATTCTTATGAGTGGAAATAGTTGAAAATACACTTTTACCTTTTTTCATGGGCACTTGATAAATGCCAGTCACTATGCCAAATGCTGGGAAGTAGATGAAAAGACATGGTTGTTACCATTTAGGAACTCATCGTTAATGGAAGGAAATGGACAAGGAGTCACTATACTCTTTGGGAAGTGGGAGTAGACATACAGAATAGATCGTTGTTAAATTAAATGCATTTAATAAATGAGAATGTGCTAGACAGAAAGGAGGAAGGAAGGATATTTAAAGCAAATAAAACAGCCTGTACAGAGACACAAAGAAGTGATATGTTTAGAAAATGTCAGAAGTGAGTTGGGAAAACTAATGGCCAATATGGCCAGAAAGATTAGTTGGGGCCAGATCACAGAGAGCCCTGTAGGATATGCTAAGGAATTTGCACTTTATCTTATAATGGGTAACCAGTGAAGGTTTTTGAAGTAGAACTAACATCAAAAGGTTTGTGTTTGAGAAAGCTAACTGCTGGCTGTGTGGAGGATGAATTGGAGAAGGGAAAAATTCAAGGCAGACAGACCTTAGGGAGGTTATTGCAATAGTACAGCAAGATGGTTAAAGACTTGCCCTAAGACAGTGGGAAAGGAGAGAAAGAAAAACGTTCAAGAGCTGTTCAGGAGATGGAATTAGCATTTGATCTAATATATAGAAGCAGTAAGTAAGCATCAAAAAGGCAGAGGTTTTTGTTTATTTTGTTCACTGAGATCATTGTATAAAGGAATGAAGTAATGAAGGAATATACAAATATACGTACAAGTAAAAACAACTCAGGGTAGTTAAGAGAGGCCCCTTATCTACCCTGAGCGGACTTGAATTCAGGAGGCTTGACCAGGCACATTTAAGAATTAAAATGTAAGTTCCTTTAGAGCAGGGACTATATTTGTTTTTTTCATTACTGTGTTTTCAACACTTACCTTTACACATAGTAGGCACCCACTAGATATTTGTTAAATTAATGACTAATCTTCCCTGCTCAAATTGTTTATACATTTCAATCTTATAGGTTTATCATTAGGTGGCGCTAAGAAACCATTGTCCTTTCTACACAGAAGATTTAGCTGAGAGACTTGATTTTTTTTTTTTGTTTTAACTGATTGTGAAGTAGTTCATTATTCTTGTCAGGTTAGTTCTTGACTTTTTAAATGGGTAAATTAAAATTTCGGGAGGTCTAACTGAAGTGTCCTATGATAGATGATTGGATAAAGAAGATGTGGCACATTTATACAATGGAATATTACTCAGCCATAAGAAAAGATGAAATACTGCCATTTGCGACAACATGGATGGATCTTGAGATAAACATGTTAAGCGAAATAAGTCAGACAGAAAAAATTGAAAACCATATGATTTCACTCATGTGAGATATAAAACTGAAAGCAACAAACAGACTTATGAACATGAACAGTGGGTTAGTGGCTACTAGAGAAACGGGGTGAGGGAAGAGATAGTTAGCGGTAAAAGGGGTCAAATATTTGTTGACAGAAGGAAATCTAACATTGGATGGTGAACACACATACTATTGAATTGTACACTTGAAACTTATTTGATTTTATTAATGTCACCCCAATAATTTTTAGTAAAAAATTAGGGAGGGCTGCTTATTTACATGACTGTTCAAAATAAGAAACAATGTCTCTCATACGACTCTCAAAAGAAGTAATTTAGTTGGACTTCTTACATGAACGAAAGGCCATACCCAATGTTCCTCAATTATCTTTACCCAGTAAGTATATGCTAATATATGTCAGCAATGTCTCAAAATATTTCGTTTCCAAAAATATTGTACTTCTCCCTAATGAAGCTTCTACTCAGTAAAGTAAATAGATCCGTTTCTAGCATAGACTTTGACACTTTGAATACATGATGTAAGACCGATTAAGCTGAGGACCTAGCTCTTTAGTCTTTTTAACGACTTAATATCTGTTACTCTTTGAAATGATTTTCAAAGTGAGACTGATGTATCACCTGCATTCATTTCATCTAGGGTGCTTAATGTGTGGGCCCCATTCCAGAGATACTACTGAATCAAAATTTCTGCACTTTTGACAAGTTCCTCAGGTGATTATTCATTCTGATAAAGTTTGAAAATCACTATTTAAAAACAAAAGAAATCAACTGATAAACGGTTTTAGCTAAATTAGTCACTATATCTTTTACTTTTTTCTGACATTTATCCAGTTGAGCCTATTTCAGATATAGCTACTCCATTTACTACTATCACAGCTTGGGTTCAGCACATAAAAAATTCAAAACTTGTTAGCATCCCTGACATTAAATGCCCTTTACAGTCTAGTTCCTTTATCATCCTTTCCTTATACTTTATCCTGCAGCCATTTAGAACTTTTTCCCAAAAGCTATATGATCTTGCGAATACTGTTTCCTCTGCCTAAAATGCTTCCCCCTATTTTTTTTTCTTACCTATTTTTATCTGTTGGATTTATACTTATATTTCAAGGCCCAGTTCAAATGTTACTTTCTCTTAAAAGTCTTAAATTCCACAGGCAGAGTTAGCGTTCCATTGTTCTGTGTCCCGGTAGCATTTTGTTCTTATCTTTATTGAATTTATCAAGTTGCTTTGCAATTACTTGTCTTTTTCTTCTAGTGAACTGTGAGCTCTTAGAGAGTAGGGATCGTGATATGTTCATCTTTGTATTTCTCTGATTTTAGACTGGCTTCCCATTAAGTGCTTATTCAATGCGTAATTGAATTCGTCACCAAAGTGGGGGCATCATTAACTTGCCATTTTGTTTTCTTTAATTATTGCATTTTCTAAATTTAGTTTATTTATATTACATTTCCATATAGAATATAAACAATGTGTTATAAGGAATTTTTAAATTATTTTTCCCCATGAAATAGATTCTGATATCAAAGTACTCGAAGATCAGTTTGATGAAATCATAGTAGATATAGCTACAAAACGTAAGCAGTATCCCAGAAAGATCCTCGAATGTGTCATCAAAACCATTAAAGCAAAACAAGAGATTCTGGTAAGACAATTTACCTTTAAAGCAGTAAATTTTATGTTTTATCTGTTTTATTACACTAAAGTTAAAGTATAAGATCCATGTGGAGATAAATGGTATTTTGTTTCCTTTGTCTTTCCTGCCTTAATTACTACTGTTTGTCTTTTCCTATTTTAAGTCACTAGGTTTTGAACACAACTGATACTAAAATAGAATTTAAAGATGGAAGATTGACAATGACTTTCTAAATCCGAGACCAGCAAGGAAAAAGAAATTTATCTTCTAAGGCTTTTCTTTCTGTTTGTCATTTGTGTTTGGCATTTATTTGTATATGATTATATATTTTGGAAAGTACTTTAGTAAAATTGATGATGAAGATTGAGTACCTATTCATAGTACTGAAATTTGCTTTATGAATTGTTTGTAATTAATTTTTTTCCAAAGGTCATGATGGGGCTGAAGTAGGTCTGCTGGAAATGGCTTTGCCTCTGCAGTAAGAAATGTATGTTGCTTTAGATTGTGCTATGCTATTTGTCCTTAGTTTTTGAAATTAATATACTTAATATATAAATCTTCTAGTTGCTTCCCTTTCAGGAATTGTTTTAGACAGTAAAGGCAAGTACTTTATCTAAAATATTTTTGTCATTCTATAAGAAAAAATATTTATAAGTAGAATTTTTCATTTTTTTCTTCTGTAGCAGTTCTCAAAGAACTATCCACTTCATCTCCCTATCCCCTTTTTAAAGTTTCTTTAGGAAAAACATTTAAAATGTGTTTATTTTCCAGTATGTCCCTCCCTGTAATTATACCTCCCTCCCCAAAGAAAACATGGTATTCAGTATTTCATAAAAGAAAGAAAGTCGGCAGGCCTAGGTGAGGTATAGCTGTAGAAGATTAAAAAGTGATACAAAATGGCTGGGATGAAGATGCTAAAGACTGCTTTTTTAAAAGAAAAAAAACAAAAAAACAAAAACCTTTTTAGCTCTTGCTAGCTTTGAGCAAGAGTAAAGAGAATATTTTCCTCTTTCTTTTTGCCTGAATTGTGGCTCCTGTTCCTATAGTTCTGCTACTGTAGTCTCAGCGTGTCACAAGATACATAGGCTTTAGTGTTGCTGACATGGTGGTGGCTTAGCCACTTTTTAAATCAGAGTTTTGTGGGAACATGAGTTCTGAGTTCCAACATTTGTGTTAAAATGAACTTTTGAAAAAACAAAACAAAACAGTTCATTCATAGTTTGGAGACTACCTATTACTTTAAATACAAAATTTAATCTCTATACCTTTAATTTGCTTAATTGCTTTACTTATGCTTTTTTTTTTGTGGTGCTATTTCTTAGTGTATGCAGTAGGTGGCAATACTATAAAAGGTATAATTCAGACTTAGGTTGACTTTTTTCCTCCCTTCCCTACAGATTTCAAGATCCAATTTTTGTTGTTTTGGCAAAAGAATGGTACTACTGACTAATAGTATATTTGCCTATGTTAGCTGAAGGAAATGTTTATATGAGGCATTAAGTGGTTAAATTAAATGTTTTGATTTATATTATGTTTAGAAGCAGTACCACCCTGTTGTACGTCCATTGGACCTAAAATATGACCCCGATCCAGGTGAGTCTGTTCATTTGTGGTAAAAATGAAGCATCAGCTTGTAATTTTCAAGAAGTCCTAATACTCTTTTAAAGTTGTCAGCAATAAGAGTATTTTCCTTTTGATGTTCTAACTCACTACCAGTCATCCATGTTTAGTGAAGACTAAGGATTATGAGAACTTGCTCTAAACCTATTGATTCAGAATCTCTAGGAGTAGGACCCAAGAATCTGGACTTTCGTAAGGCTCTCCTGACCGAGAATATTATAACACCTTTCCAGTCTCTAACTTCTATTATAACACCCTCCTATCTCTAACTGCTTTTATACTATCCATTTTTTGCATTACAGCCAGCTATACTATTGAAGCACTCATGGTGTCACTACCCAGTGACATTGGTTTTTCATCATTTATAAAATAAAATCCAATAAAAATATAATGTTGAACTTAGGAAGAGATATACACACTTGCTATGCCTTTGAATTCAATTCTGTTTCCATTTAGATACATTCTCTGAAATAGAGAGAAATCTAATTGATTCAGTTATGTAAATTCGGAAACAGAACTGGCATTGCTAAAAATGTGGATCATATATATTTTTAAATGACTCCATTCTCACATTTAAAAATTTGTAAAAATTTTCCTAAGAAACCTCTTGGAATTTCCCTTTGTAATTCAAAAGTACCATTTCTGAACTATTAGAAAAACAGTTAAGACCTTGGTTTATTTGTAAGGATATTTATACTTAGAGATTTTGAGTACCTTACCTTTATCGAATTCTGAGCTACTTCCTGTCCCCTACCCTCCCCAAATCTCCAGATAAATGGAATAAACTGAGAAAGGGAAGTACAAACATAAAGATACTCTGAAATTGGTTAAAATCACAGCATTTGCTGTATTTGAAAATAAAAATCGACCTAGGACCTACTGCTTAATTGTCATGGTTCACTAAAAAGGGATAGTTGCCAAAATACAGTGGTTGACATATACTTGTTTTGGTTTTGAACAACATAAAAATAAGATTTAAAACTTGTGCTATCATAATATACTCAAGTATTACTACTTTTTAGATACAGTTAATTCTCCTCTAAAGAAACTTGGTAACTTTTTTATTTTAGGAGGGAAAACAAATTAAATGATCCTTTGAAGGTCTACGTGATTTTATTCCTACCATTCCAGTTATGTAGTATTAGAAAAATCTCTGTATCATATGATTCTCACTTCAAAAGTAAGCAAAGGAATAATCAAAATCTATCTTTTGGATAAATTCAGAAGAGGTTTTTTTCATTATACATTTTCATATGACTATGAGCTTAGAATAGCGTCAGCTCTTTAAGCACAACAAAATTAAGTTTTATTAGCTGTATATTCTCGGATAAGTCCCTTCAAGCATTAGTTTCTTTATGGCAAATTCTAGATTTGGAGCCTGATGCTGTAGGTGCGAATACCAGCTTTATCACTAAATATTACAGAAATGTCCTGCCTCTGTACTGAGGTTGTTATGAATCACATGAGATAAGAGGCTCTATAAACTATAACAAATATATTAGTAGTTGGTAAGCAGATGCTATGTAAGAAACCTATTATAAATTTTATCCCATTTTCAACAGTATGCTTTATAATACTGCGTAGCTTATAATGTACCTGTTAAAATCATATGAAATTAATTAAAATGGCTTAGGGGAAATGTGGAAAGCATAAATTTATATGGCACCTAAAAATCTGAATCAGCTGCATGGAAAAAGTTTTATAGGAACTCGTTGAAGGTTTTTTTCTTTTTGTTGCTAGACTATTAAGTGATATCCCTTTTTTTTTTTTTTTGAGAGCTGACACTTTTAAAGGTTGTCTGGTTTTCAAAATACGATACACTCATCCCTTGGAATCTGGGAGATTAGTTCCAAGACCCGCACAGATACCAAAATCCATGGATGCTTAAGTCCTTATTTAAAATACCACAGTATTTGCATATAACCTACCTACTTGCTTCTGTGTACTTTAAATCACCTCTAAATTAGTTATAATACCTAATACAGTATAGATGCAATGTAAATAGTTATACTATATTGTTTAGGGAATAATGACAAGAAAAAAGTCTAGATGGAACCATCATAAACCTAACTATATAGTACATGTCTGCAGCAGTGTAACATTTTTTCCTCAAATATTTTTAATCCGCTGTTGGTTGAATCCACGGATGTAGAACCCGCGGATGCAGAGGGAGGGCCAACCATACTTAGGCGATGTGTATAACACTGATTTGGCATAATTATGTTAGAAACTTTTGGAGGATACAGAAGTAAAGCAGACATATTTACTCTACAAAGAGCTTATGTTTGAGTGGAAGAAATAAGAGATGAACATAAAACAGGATCTTTTATGCCCTCTGATTCCTTTCCCAGTTTTTGCCATCTGATAAATGGCACCTTCACGTACATATTGCTTGAGCCAGAAGTCAACCTTGAGTTTTTCCTCTCCTGAACTCCTCATATCCAGTCCATCAATAAGTTCTACAAATTATTTCTTTGAAATGTAATCTCATTATCCACTTCTAGGTCACCATCACTCTAGCCAGGATTTCTACACTTGCTTTCTAGAAGGTCTTCTTGTTTTACCCTTCCTCTCCTTCCTTCCATTTTATATACATCAGGCACAATTGATTTTTTTTTTAATCTTTGAAATATTTCAAATGTATAGAAAACATGGAGTATAACATAATGAGCATTTTTGTACCTACTCATACGCGAGGGCTCTTCACATTTTGCCAAACTTGCTTCATACATTTTTAGGAACTAAAACGTATGGATATAGTTGAAACTTTATTTGCACCCCTTAACCATTCCTCCACTCCCTTTTACTTCAAAAGTAACCACTATCCTCAAGCCCTGTGGATCCTTCCTATTCATGTCCTAGTGCTTTTACTTTATAGATATGTATCCATAAACATGTCTGGCATCTGTTTTTAAATTTTATATAAATTGTATATATTGGCTATATATTATTCAACTTAACGTTTTCCCCTCAACATTGTACACACACATAGCTCTCTGTTCAATTAGCTACTGTATAGTATTCCAGAGTATGAATATACCAGTTTATCCATTCCTCTCCTGAGGGACACTTAGATTGTAGTTTTTTCTTCTATAAACAATATTGCAATGACCATTCTTATACCTGTCTCCTTAAGTGGTATAAATATGCCACAGATTTTCTGGGATAGATTTCTGGAAGCAGAATTTCTAGGTCATAGGGTTTGTTTCTATTTATCTTTATTGCATTTAAGCTTTTTTACCTCTCCAAAGTAGTGATGTCAGTTTACACTCCCACCAACAATGTTTGAAAGTTACTTGCTTCTTCACATTTTGCCAACAATTCTTAGTCTTTATATATATATAATACATATATTATATATAATTCGATGGACATACATTAGTATTTAAAGTGAGGTCGAGCACCCTTTCCCATGTTTTTTGACCCTACAATTTCTTCTGTGAGTTGTTTATTTATAATCTTTGCCCATTTTTCTATTGGGTTGTTTCAACTTATTCATTTCTAAGAGCCATACACAAAGGCACATGTACATATGCACATGCGTGTGCATTTTAGATGCTAATCCTTTGGATATAAACACTGTAAATATCTGTTGTCAAGTATTGGCTTGTCTTTTAACTATTTGTAATGTGTACATATATATATTCACATACACACACACACGTATGTATATATCTTAATGTAGTAGAAATTACTAGGTTTTCTCCTTTATAATTTTTTCTTTAAGAAATCCTCTACACAGGTGGCATAAAGACCCTTTGTTATTTTCTTTCTTTTTTTTTACAATTCAGCAGTAAGTCATATATATATTACATTGTGTGTTCACCACCTATAGTTAGATGTTTTTCTGTCACCACATACTTGACCCCTTTTACCCCAACTACCTCCCACCTCCCCGCTTCCCTCTGGTAACTACTAGTCCGCTGTCCATGTACATGAATCTCTGTTCATTTGTCATGTTTGTTTGTTGCTTTTAGATTTACATCTTACATATAAGTGATATCATGTGGTTTTCAACTTTTTCTGTCTGGCTTATTTCACTTAGCATGATTATCTCGAGATCCATCCATGTTGTTGCACATGGCAGTATTTCATCTCTTATAGCTGAGTAATATTCCACTTTATATATGTACCACAGCTTCTTTATCCAGTCATCTATTGTAGAACACTTCAGTTGCTTCCATGTTCTGGCCACTGTGAATAACGCTGCTGTGAACATTGGTGTGCATATATCTTTTCAGATAAATGTTTTCAAGTCTTTGGGATAAATACTCAGTAGAGGGATTGCTGGGTCATATGGTAGATCTCCTACTGTAAATGTTACTCTAATGGGTATGAGATGATATGTCATTGTGGTTTTGATCTGCATTTCCCTAATAGCTAGCAATGCTAAGCATCTTTTCATATGTTTGTTGGCCATTTGTATATCTTCTTGGGAGAAGTGTCTGTTCAGGTCCTCTGTCTATTTTTGAATTGGATTGTTTGTTTTTTTGTTATTGAGTTATATGAATTCTTTGTATATTTTGGATATTAGGCCTCTATTGGAGGCATTGCTTGCAAATATATTTTCCCATTCAGATGGTTGTCTCTTTGCCTTATTGACTTTTTTTTTGCTCTATAGAAACTTTTTAGTTTGATATAATGCCATTCCTTTATATTTATTTTTACTTCCCTTGCTTTTGAGGTCAAATTCATAAAATCCTCTTTAAGTCCAAGGTCCATGAGTTTAATACCTATGTTTTCTTCTATGCAATTTATTGTTTCAGGTTTTATATTCAGGTCCTTAATCCATTTTGAGTTAATTTTGGTGTGTGGTGATAGACAGCGGTCTAGTTTCATTATTTTGCAGGTGGCTTTACAGTTTCCCCAGGACCATTTATTGAAGATGCTTTCCTTTCTCCATTGTATATTTTTACCTCCTTTGTCAAAAATTATTTGCCCGTATAAACGGAGGTTTACTTCTGAACTCAATT